TCTGAGCAACCTCTTCTAGTGTTTTACCACCCTCATCGTAAGAAGTTTCTTCCTTATTTCTAGTCTAAATCTTCCCTCTTTTAGTTTAAAACCATTACTTCTTGTCCTACTGCAGCAGGCCCTGCTAAAACGTTTGCCCCATCTTTCTTATAAGCCTTAAGTATTGAAAAGCTGCAATAATGTCTTCCCAGAGCCTTCCCTTCTCCAAGCTGAACAACCCCAACTCTCTCAGCCTGTCTTCACAGGAGAGATGCTCCATGTATCTGATCATTTTTGTGGCCCTCCTCTGGACCTGCTCCAACAGGTCCATGTCTCTAATGTAGAGAGTTTAAAAAGTTCTGGATTTGCACTCCAGCAATCTGAAGTGGTGGGAAATGCTGAGTGCTTGAGAGCATGATGCCAGGACTCCTCTAGGTGTCTGGGGTAGTGATTAAGGAAGAGGTTAGAATCTAGAAGAGAAGGAAGAAGGATTATTTAAAACTACTTTCGCCTCACATCTCTCAGTCAGGCTGTTTTGTGCAATGCTTTTCTAATGTAATACAAGCTATCGAGTATTTCTCAGGATCATCTTGCAAATTATATGCATCTTGATTTGCAAGAGACACATCAGCTACTGAGCAATGCAGCATTTGACTGTCTGAACAAATTTAAACAGTCTTTGGATTAATAAAGCCCAGCTAATCCTGAGCCAGAAGCTATTAAAGCGTAATGCAGTCAACCGCTGATTTACTAAGAAGTAAAATGGTTCACTCAATCACTTTATTTTGACAGCTCCTCTAGTCCTTTCACACCTGAAGTTATTTATACTTGTGCACCAGTTTATCACTGTTGCATTGCTTCTCCTTTATACCTGTGCTTTCCCTTCATGCTATCTAGATTTTCACATAATTCCTTATGTTTACCTTTTATTGGCTCATATAAAGCACAGATACCAGGGAGAAGCAGTTCAGTAAGAGCTTCCACTCTGCAGGCAGGTTGAAGAGCTTATCTGAGATATGAACCCACAACTCTGTGTACATTAAGAGCATCCACCACTCTTAAGTTTGTGGCTTTTTCCCCTCCAGAGACAGGAGTTTAACTTGAAGAGACATAAACCCAGCTTCCTGCTGAGACAGTTCTTGTGGATCATCCACCATTTCCTTTGCGAAGGGGATTATGTGCACTATGGCATACAAATTCAATTCTAACACAAGTAACTCCTTTTGTCTATAGGCAATTCCCCAGCACTTTAAACTACGGTCTCCACTTCAGTACACCCAGTGCCAAAATGCCCCCTATAACCTTTCTTAGTGCCTCTCTATGTGTTCTCCACTTCTTCAACCCATTTTGTGAGAAGGGAGTTTCATTGTCACGAGCACCACAACCTTCACAGAAGAAAAGTGCTACTATGTTCAAATCCTTATTAGCTATCTTTATTAACACCAGGACTATGTCGATCTCAATGTCTTCTTACAATGCTGTAGCATTGCAGCAGGAAAAATGTCCTTTGGAAGGGAACACAAATGTTTCCTCTGGACAAAAGGAGCCAAAGATCTGACCCAGTTCTCCACTGTCTTTTAGACTATATACATAATACCAATTCAGTGGCTTTTTTTTACCTCACTTGGTTTTTCATCTGGTATCAGTGTTGTTACATTCATTTAGATTTGTTTAATATGAACAGTTACTAGCCGAGTCTTTGGGCCGATTTCAACCTGTTCCTGCAAAAGGTCATGACACTGATTTAATTAAAACACAACAGTGGTGTGTCAAATCTGTGACGTTTGTATAAGTAAACTCCAGTATTAAAATCCTGAACATTTCTGGTTTAGGTCTGTGATTTTCCCAAACAAGAAAAGTTAAATTATTCAGATCGAGCAAAAAATGACAGCAATTCATTTTCATATCTCCAAGGATTCCCTTCTGAGGGTTTCAGGGAACATTACTCGACATTCCATGTATGGGTCCATGCATGATACATTGAATGGAACAAGCACAAAACATGCCAGTTGACTTGTTCATTCCATAGTCTCTGAACAAATTCACCTTTCTTTTGCTAGTACCAGCCAAGGACTGTCCCAGAAATAAGATGGTTAGAAAACTTTTAAAAAATTTGTTTATTCATTTAATTTAACATCTTTTACTGTTAGCAACTGGTGGGCTAAGCTCACCTTCAGTAAGTGATACTGATGATAGCCAGTCTTACCCCCTACAGCACATACACCCAGTAGAAATGTTTGTAGCTACTTCCAGGACTGTTTAATCTCTGTGACTTCATCAAAGAAACATGGTTCTTGCATTTAATCTGCTTTGAGTTTGTCTGATGCAGCAATCAAAGATGTATTACAAATACGTCTTTTTTTTTGCCTTCACTGACTATGTAAGGAGCCCAGCTGTCTGCCTCCTCAACTGATGCCTGACACTAGAGTGAAAACCTCACAGTGAGTAAAATTCTACAATTGATTTTGGTAAGATCGTGGCTTCACCCTTTCTGTTTTCCAGTATAATTTTAGGAGTAATATAACAAAAACTTCAGGCAAAATAGAATAGAACTTTTTTTTTCTTTCTAGTCCAAGTTATACTTTGTCTTGACTCTGTTTTTATTAATTTATAGTTGTGTGGGGAGATGGACAGGAAGAAATTTAGTTATTGTTTCTAGTCCTAGTATTTATATCTTACAACAATCTGAACTTCATGGAATAGCACTGTATTTCTCTCCTCTGACAACTTACTACATTGGAATTTATTTTTCTTCTTTTTTTTTTAAAGTAATAATAAAGTAATTCTTTTGTACCAAAGGTTTCTGTACTAACTCTTGTTTCAAAAAGCCGTTATAGTTATGCCTACCATGCTAAATTTTGTAATATGAGCATGCAGGCACAAAAATTATGGTGACCTGAGGGAAAATTCTGCTCGGATTTTATCATTACCAATTCCATTTTATGCATTACACAGGCATGAACACCTATTCTATGACCAGAGATACTACACTGATATTAGTATATGATGAGACCTACCATGTAGCTCTGAGAGGAACAGTTTACTTGCAAAATTTTTATTAAAAGTTTTATATGTTTTTAAATCACTGCAGCTAACACTGTTATTCCTACAATAGATAAAGTTAGAGCTAACAGCTTGTTTCTTTATGACTAAGCACATCTTTAAAATTTCATGTTCTCTCCATGGACTGTAGAGGGACCCCAGAAGCTTGCCTGCCAGTGAATTTGCTGGAGTAACATGAAATTAGTCTCACACTAAGCCTCTCCACTCAAAAGTAACAGTAGGGAATAGCTATTGTTGACCAACTGATTTAATTGAACAATTTGTAGATCAGCAAACAGGAAAAATTACTTATTTATATCCCAAGAAGTAGTTTTATCTGTCCGGGACATGCAAATGGTCACATCAAAATAATGAAGAATAGTGCCCCACTGACCTAAAACACTTCAGTGATCGTGGATGTTGACCTGGTTGTCATTATTCTCAGTGTTAGAATAAAATATTGCCCCCAAATTGCATTTCATATATTGCATTTCAGTTCATATAAGGAGACCTGTATCTCTGTGTCCTAGGTTGTCTCTCCTCTTGTTTAGCCTTTCATTCTACCAGCATGTGCTGAGTCTGTTTTCCATGCTCTTCTATATTTTTTCCATGCTGTCCTCCATAAACGGCTCTTTTTAACCTCAGTTCTCAAATCCCACTCCTTCTCATTCACTTCTACAGTGCCCTCAAGTGGTAAATTAAACATGCATCCCAGAGGCCTTCCACATTCACCCTATGCATCCTGCCTTCTACCTTTCTCCTTGAGTCTTGCAGCCCTTAGGGTACATATTATGGCCATTGTGGTTGGAAAAACATTTGCTGGGAGCGAATCAGAGCTTTTTGGAGCAAAACAAATTTAATTTTGCAGAAGATAAAGGATAAAGAATACTTAAAAAAAATATAATAAAGGATATTCTAAAAAGGAAAAGATGTGTTAAGGG